TACCAGTGGGCAAATATTGCCACATCCACCTACTCTGGATATGAGGAATGATTAAATGCTCTTCTGATTAGAGGTAAGACTCTAGTCCATTGTTCTCCACTGTTCTTGATTTCAACCTCCAGAATGTTCTTAAACTTCCATTATTTTTCTTGGCCACCTTTTTTTTTTTTTTAATATTTATTCAAGGTGAAAGTTTACACAACAAATTAGATTCTTATTTAACAATTTCTACACAAATCATTCAGTGATACTGGTTACATTTTCCACAATTTGTCATTATTCTCATTCATTCTGTTCTGGTTGTACCATTTCTAGTACTCTAGTTTCCCTGCCTCCTTACCTTCTCATTTTTGCTTTATAGATATTTTTGACCATTTGGTGCTCTGTAGTTTTTTGTTTTTGTTTTTGTTTTAAGAAACTCATTACTCATGGGTAATATTTTTTTATTTTATGATCCAATCCATTTAGCTAAAAGGTAACCTCAAGGGATAATTTCAGCTTAAGATTCGAAGTGTATCCAGGGGTGATAGTCTCAGGGAATCCTCTAGTCTCAACTGATCTATTAAATCTGGTCTTTTTAAGAATTTGAGTTCTGTTGCACATTTTTCTCCCATTCTATAAGGATCCATGTAATGTGGCCCTAATCAGAATGGTTATTAGTGGTAGCCAGGCACCATCTAGTTCTTCTCTCTCAGGGTAGATGAGGCCATGGGTCTTGTCAACTATTAGTCCTATAGATGACTTTCTTCCCTAAGTCATTAGTTTTCTTCTTTCTTTTTTGTTCCAGACAAGTAGAGACCAATTGTATTTTAGATGGCCGGCTGCAGACTTTTAAGGCCCTGGCATTATTCATCACATTGGATGTAGAATATATACTTTATGATCTGTGTTATGCCCATTAACTAGTTGTTCCACAAGACTAAGGTCCTGTGTCCTCAGACCTCAAAAATCAATCTTAAGAAGTGTTTGGTTACGTCCAACCTGTGTTCTCTGTGATTTACTGTATGTATGGATATATATGTATGTACATGCATGCCTGTGTGTATATATTCCTGTATATGCTTCTATCTGTGCATACATTCCTCTATTTGGTATTTACACCCAGGCTGAATCAGAATTTTTTTACTGGCTGGAGAGAAGTTTTATTTTTCAACAAAGCAAGTCCTACGACAGCCTAGTATCAAAGGGTGGAAAATACACTGCCTTGTGTGGGAAGAACTTCAGAGTTAAAAGTCATGGTACAGGGAGGAAAGAAGAATTTGGGCCGGTAATTTATCACATTCTCCATGGCAATATATGGGATATTGGTTGTCAGGCTGTGCCTCTGTCCTCCTGCATCCTAAGGCGATCAGCTTCCCATTCAGCTGTGGTGCCAAAGAGTTAGCAGCAGCTTTCTTAAAGCTTTCTTGTGAATGGTTGGGTAAGTGGGGATGATCAGCCTAGCTGCTAGTTTTAGGCAGGGACCCTTTCTCTGATCTCCACGCTATCTTAGGCATTTTGTATTCTACTTCCCCAAAGGGGAAGAACTCCCAATTGCCTCCACTGGCATATTGACCTGAGTCCCACAGGACCGTGGCTTTGGATTCCTCCTCTCTTCCTAAACATCATCACAAAGATGTTTAGCTTATCAAACATAACTGTGTCTTTTTTTTTTTTTTTTTTTTTTAGGCTGTGTCTTTATTTTTTATTTAATATTTTGCATATCACATCAGTGGATTTAAGGTAGGAACATAGTTTGAAACATTAATTTTCAACAGTATTGTTACAAAGTCCTAACATCTTATATAAAGAATGTCTTTTATTTTCTCTGCAGGCTTTTAAAAATAAAATATATTTGAATATCTCTTGGCATTTAATTATGCCTAAGTTTAGTATGTTACAAAAAAATAAGTTAAAGGATAGATATAAATATTCAAGTTCAGTACATTGAAAAAGATGATGAGGCAGTTATATAAAAGGGAAATAGAAATTCTTTATTCTTGCCAGTATATGTGACCATTAAAATAAATTACTTTTAATTATGTATATTATATATTAGTGTATTTTATCACAGTTTACTTATTTCTGTTCTCTTTTACATCCCTTATCCATTTTTTGGGGGGAGGGGGCTTTTATTACAGGAAATTTATTATGGAAAATTTTGAACATATAAAAACATGCAGAATCGTGTATTGAAACTTCTATATACCCACTGCCCAGCCTTCATAATTATTAACTCATTGTCTCGTTTCATTTATACCAGGGACTGGAAAATTATAAGCCCACTGCCTACTTTTATAAATAAAATGTTTCAATGCAGACACTCTTATTCAGATATATATTGTCTGTGGCTACATTTGTGCTATAATGGCAGAGTTGAATAG